TTGTCAGAACCCTTTAGAATCTACTAATTATCAAAGGCTAATTTTTATATAATTTCAATATCTGTTCTCAAAAATGAAATACACAACTTCTAAAATAGTTTCTTTCCACATATCAGCAACAGGTACTGGAAGATCTGCAAGTAACTTATCTGAGAACATTTGGAGTTCCAATCTACTACAGTTTCACAATTTATGAATTCTGTTGCCCAAAGGAATAACTTCCCTTCAAAACACATTTCTGAATGAAATTTCAGGCAGAATCGTCATTTTCTGTTATATGACTTGCTTGATAATTCAAATTTCCCATATACAGGTATTCCTTCTTATATGCCAAGTGAGAAAATTATGATTTCATTTTATTGCATTAAACTCATTTAGGACAATTTCAATTAACATCACTTGCTTTAATCCAAACTGTCTGCTGGTCAATCAAGAGAACAATGGAAAAATTCTGCTGGCCACACAACATCTTCAGCCAATCAACTGTTACATGAGAAGTCAGAGGCTTGGAAGCAACTAAGGCGGGCAAGTTTTAAAGAAGTCATTGCCAGAAAATCCTCCAAATACTTCTTGTGAAGTTTTATAATCTATTTCAATGACTACAAACAGAAAACTCAATATTACTGACATTTTTCAGACAAATTAATCTCCTTCCCTACCACTGCAGTCATCTGCTTGATCATCATGCTGAACCATCTCCCCACACAACTCAATGACTTGCCCATCAGATCACCTGTCCATCCATTTAGCATGCCACCTACCAGGATTTTGGTGAATGTTGATTACTTCATCATTAAAGTAAACTGATTCTGTCATTAACAATGGTTAAAATACACCTTATTAATTAATTTATTTGTGTATGTTACTGTGAGAGATGTGTCTTGGGACAATTGGAAAAATGATTTTGACTTGGTGGTGCAGGTTTTCCGCACAAGTTTCAACATTATACCATCTCATTTCTTAGTAATATCTATCATTCTTTTTCAAAGTAAATAATTACAGACACAACTTACATAAGATAAAGATGTACTGTACTACACAAGGCAGTCAGTTTAAGTTATCAGCAAGAATATTCTGATACTTTTTAGTACATTTCAGACAATTATAGGGGAATTATGTTCAATTTATCCAATTTCACCATCACTGACATTTTATGCATCGAGGACTACCTGTATATACTCATTTTCCAAAAACATTATACGGCTCATAGACCTTCCTCTAGTAAAATTATCTTTTAACGTTTGTTAAGTATTACAGACATACTGATTATGCTCTTAAATTTTAAAATATGTTTGTTTTGCCAGAAAGCACATTAATGTCATAATTAGTTATAATGCAACATTTTTTATATATTACCAAAATCCATTAACATCGAAGTATATAAGTTTGCAAGCAATTTGTCAAAATAAATTACATAGCACCTACTTGTTTATTTAATAACACTGAATAAGTCTATGCTGAACTTAGCAACTACAGCAAGTTTTAGGGTCATCCACCAATCAGTAATGGCAACTATGAACATTCTAGCAAGAACCTCAGATTACAAACAGTTTATTTATGTTAACCACTGTAATAAGCTTGTCCAAGAATGGAACTAAAAACCAGCTCTATTACCATGTAACCAGCCAAGTGCCAAATCAACAACAAAGCCTCAAACTTAAGGAACAAGGATGTGATAATGTGCTGCCTGGTAAGGACTACTGCAATGCTCATGTAAGTGTTGGACAGGTACGAAGCAATGATGGAATGACGATTAACAAAAGAAACTGATGATGTATAGTAACTGACTCTGGTGCTGCTTCTTCCAGCATGAATCTCAGTTACCGGGAACTGCTGCAAATGGGCCCAAGTTTCTTACAGAAACACAGAGTTAAGGAGTAAGTAAATAATGAAGTGTAACTAATTAATAAGTGTCAGATTTCATCCTTCTCTTTATTATTACATTGTAGCATAACACATGTTTGGTTTCCTGTAATAGGGCCCACTGTCACAAAATAATTTCTATTAAATAAATGATTTTTTTTTTGGGGAAAACAGATCTCAATCTGTTTTTTGAAAATTATTCGTATAACACAATATTAGAGGATATGTGGAATCCTAAATGTTAATTTCATAAATTCTAGCAGCAGAACACAAAAAAATTAAAAGAATTACTTCACTTTACTCTTACTACTGCTCTCTTCATGGTAAATGGAAAAAGACTGATTATTGTACCTTGGCTTGAAGGTTGACAACACTTCCAAAAAAACAAACTATTTCTGAAACATGTACTGGACTGACTTATATTTTAAGTATTCTTTAGCTGTCAGTTTGATTTATGGACAGACTCTAATCATGTAATCTATTATAACAATTTGAAAAGCTGTATATTGCCTACAAATCTTAAAAATTTGAACATCATTATATTCCTCTACAACTAGCATAAGAGTTATGTGAAACATTTAGACTATTCGTGCTGTATTAGAATGCAAGTACACTTAAAAGCATACGAAGAGTGTTGTACATTACAGTACAATGGCATAACACTATCACTCACTCAAAACAGACTTGAACAATATCAGATATACTGCACATGGAGTTAACTATTTCCACTCCTACATCTGACTAGACCAATATTTCTGTTGTTCTGGAATAACTCTTGGAATGGAAGAGATTAAAAAAATCATTCTCATTTCTTCTTTAGATCAGCATTTTACATTTTGAGGTAATCCATCCCCCTTTTGGAGAAGGCACAAATTTTTCATGACATAATCCTTTAAAGACTACACAATTTTGGTCTGAACATATTAACGCATAAGTAGTATGAAAGTCCGGAACTTCAAGATTTTATTTTAACATTAATAATTTTACCAAATGTGTTACTGATTAAGATCCTCATGCTGACATACAGTTTAATGCAAAGAAAATAAAAATTATGTGTATAATAGATATGGGCAATAAATTGTGGGTTCTTCTGAATAAATTCTGAATCCAATTTCCATAACACCACAGAAGTTTAATTTCATTATAACAATAAAAATAATAAAAAAATAAAATAATAATAATAATAATAATAATAATAATAATAATAATAATAAGTCCACCCCTCTGGTTTGTGGAATAAGCACAAGATATGGTAACGGATTTGATCAATACGTTGCCAGGCAACAGCTCTGTAAACACAACATGCAACAATAAATGAGGCTGTTTTTTCTGTCATCAGTGCCACGCCCAGTGCTGGTAATGGACAAATGAACTCGCAGTCGGGCAGGTTTTCTGCAAGGTCTGCATGCAACAAAGAGGGGCTGTGCTTTCTGTGCATGGTAGGTACCGAGGTGATGTAAGATAACATGGGAATGAGAATTGCCTTCACTTGAGTTCCGAAGTTCCAAGGGAACATCAGTGTGGCCAGAAGAAGAATTAGAAGACTTAGTGTGTGATGTTACATGTGCTGTAATAGTACACAGATATTGAGATTGTGTAATTTAGTGAGACTTTTATAGTTCCTGTGTTATAAACCCATTGTCAGGAAATGGACAGTGAAGACTAGTGGAAATAGACTGAGAAGATTAGTGTGAAGTGATTGCAAATTGTGTAAATCAGGAATAGTCTAATAATTATTTGTAGTTACGACCTGTAGGCGGTTAATAAATCCAATTACCAATCCGAACCCCGTCTTTAGTCTCTGAAACATGTGACAATATTCACTATATAAATGCATACTTGCTACCACAAAATCGTTACTGTTTCTACCAGCTGAAACTGTAAGCATATTGGTTCAAGTGATGATGCTTCTAATTGTATTTCAGAGGTGCCAGATTTGAATCTTGGCTGGGATACCACCTATCCTGACTGAGGCTTTCTGGGACTTTTCTCAGTCACTCTATGCAAATGCTGGGGTAGGTCCTTACATTAGACCATAGCTACTTCCTTTCCAATTCATCATTCTCTGTCATCCAACCATTTGACACTATGTAGCCTGAATTATTGACATCATTAAGTAACTTAAAAATAAATAAATGCAAATACTAAACAGTACACATCACCTGAACTTCAAACAAATGCAACTACATTTGCAACAAACAGAGAACTTCCTGCAAAAACTGGATTCAGTATCACCAGTACACACGCAAACCTCTTCACTACAGAATAATGGTAACTAAGCACATAAGCTACTCTTTGCCATTAAACTGTAAATAATTTTATCCTCCAAAATCATACAAAGCCAAGAGAAATGAAAATGTAGTTATTCACTATTCTAATTTTAATACCCTTTGATATTATGGAGTACAGTCAATTTTTTATTTATGAAGTAGATGCATTTCTGAAAAACCATTCCGTAAACTGAAGATGTCTAAATCAACAGCAAATTTCCCATAAGAAATTAAGGAAAATGGCAAGATGTGGGCTTGAGTCAAGCCAAGATGGCAGTAAGGTTATCAGCCTTATG